GGTTATTTTTTTAAAGAGGACTTCTAGACCCACAAAAATCAGAGCCAAACACAGCTTCTTGGTAGCTGCATATTGTCAGATAGACTCTCTTTGCTAGAGGGGAGCATAGGTGTGGCTCCTTTAAGAAAAACTTTCTGACTCAGCATTAGTAACAAAAATTATGACTTCTTCAAGAGACAGCTTCCATGTTCATGCTGGTTGCATAAATGGCCATGGCTCTTTCAAAGCATGCTGCAAGTTACTTGGTAGTTGCATGAACCAACTAATTCCCAGATTTGAGGTGGTGAACATGACTCCCAGAAGGAGGTCCCAAAGTTGACTGTGAACTACCTTCACCATGTTAAAGGGCTGTAAGATGCATCTAGGGCTGTCATAACCACACTGCTTACCATTTTAAGATATTATTTGTCAGAAAAGGATTTCAGATACACAGTAAGATCAATTCAGATATAAAAGATCTCTAAACAAGGCATAGTGTGTTTTAAAAAATGTACAACAGCTTGGGAGAGAGAGGAAAAAGAGTATAGACATTTATAAATAAAAGTAAATGGTTTTTTTAAAAGTAATAATGTTTTTAAAGAAACTGTAAAAGTAAGGTAACATAGAACAGAGAGTCACAGATTAAAGAAATAAAGACAATAAAATAAATAAAATGTAATAAAGTAATAAAAATAAGCCACATAAAGGTAGAAAATATACAAAAAGTCTGGATTATGTATATTATTGAGTTTTCTTTGAATTTTTGACTTGTAGACAGGCATTAGAGTGTGGGAAGTTGCTAAACTAAACCAATAAATTCATTTTAATGATAACTTGACTTCAAAATTTGAGTCTAAGAATATATGATTTTGGAATAGAGGCTCTTATTTTGTTTCCACCGAAGATGAAAACCTGTGAATTTTTTTCCAGGCTAATGTGACTTGATAAAACAAGAGTACCCCAAAAGATCTTCATGAACCCTAAAAATACCTCACCCAAAAATAGCAGGAATCAGTTTGGAGAAAACACCGTCCAAATTCCAAAAAGGATGTTTATGAATGCATGTTTTCATTTAAAGTGGGATATGAAATAGAGATGACTAATTTGCATTGGTATGGATATTGGTCAATTGATACAAATTTAAGGTCATTATAGTTACATTGTAATATGTATATTTCTATCCCTGTTGGAGGTATTATATTTATATAGCTCAAAAATGTAATATATAATTAAAATAACAGATTAATAGATAATTATAATAATCAAACTTGTTATTATAACATGTTAGTTATGTTTTCTATATATATAGAGAGAGAATTCAGTAAGATATAAAATATTCAATATTTCAAAGACCTACAGATTATGGCATTTAAAATGTTTTAAGAACTTAGACTTTTCTTGGCAGTGAGACATGGCTGTTTCTGGCAGCACCAATTACTTCAAGAGGATGATGGGCATAGAAGAGGTTTTATGGCATTTTCTGACCATGTGGGCAAGAAACTGCTTTTTCCTGGATGTTTGACAGTGTGCTGTATAAACTGGACATGCAGGACTCACACAAAAATGACTGCTCTACTTTCCATGAGACAGAATGGTCCTTCAAGACTCCTGCTTTACAGAAGACACTACCAAACATTCTGCAGGACAGAAGAAAGTGACTGACCAAGGGCCAATACGGGCAAAACAGTCTTTCAAATTTTCTGCTTCATGGATAATTCTGCCAAACACTTTGGGCTGGTAGGCTGAAGATGGATGACCCAATGTTGCAGAAGAACTTTGGATGATTATCCAGACAGCAAGATGTCTCTGTCAGTTCTAGAGTTTCAGAAATTGCTTATAATGCATTTCCTGTTTACTTAGGTAATGTTTCTTCTGGGGTCTTGATGGAGTTGATGACTGAATACTTATAATCCTACTTTTCCTTAGTTGTGAGAAAAGATAACGTAGATATAAATATTGTAATTGTAATTTTTGCTTGATACCTGTTTTGTTATATGTATTTTTACTATATTAAATAAAAACCTTCCTTTTTATTTAGACAAAAAAGGGGAGATTATGTGGGATTCCCCTAAGGGTGCTGTGAATATGCTTTATTACCTTTGGTTGATACAGAAGATGCCTCGGCCTATTACAGGGCAAAGTAAAGCTAAATGGGAAATCTAAATAGAGATATTTGAGAGAGTAGGTAGGGTCAGAGAGAAGCCATGTAGCTTCTGATGGAGAAGAATGCCAGAACCTTTTTAGTAAGTCAAAGCCTCAGGACAATACATTATATAGAATGGGTTAATATAAGATATAAGAGCTAATTAGAAATATGACTAAGTTATTGGCTAAACAATATTGGAATTGATATAGTTTCTTTTTGATTATTTGGGTCTGGAAGGCTAGGAAACAAAAGTTCATCCTCAATCTATAGAATTCTTTGGAAAATAATCTCCACCATCTCAGAATCAGGGATCTCATTGTTCCTTCTTAATAATACCAAGAACTGGAAAGTTTGAGATTTATTAGACACACCTGATCCCATGGATGAAATGCTTACATTCCAGATGCAGAGCCTAAGGCCATTAATGGCAAGAGTTTATTTAATAAGTCTAAAAAAATAATGTTATGGTATAATGGGACAAACATAAGATATTAGGGCCCTCCCTTTGGAGAAAGTATGACCAGAAAAGACCTATACAGTAAGATTCAGATACAAAGAGATGCAATTAGGGAACAGCTTATTGATTATCCTCATGAAGAATGAAAATTGCTCTTAAATTGTAGAATAGTGTTTGGTTCCCCAAAGGATAAGGGCCTCTAACCCCTCAGCATCTTGAGGAAAGTTTATTTAGTAATACTGTCATTCTTATCTCTGGTAAGAAAAACTGTGGCTCTTACATTTAATGTATGACTGGTTCCTATTCACAAGGTCAGTGTTAGTTTTTTGAACCCCTGATCTCAAGCCACACACCCCAGCCCACATACCCCCTTTCTCCCATTTAGTCCAATGTGCAGCTCTAGAGTATAAAATTTGTGTTATTTTCTCAGTGAATACTGCTGTGAGCCATCTCGAGTCACCATATCCTGACTTTCACCCCCTCAATGCCTGCACACACACCCACTTTGGGACCTGAACCCTCCCAATTTCTTTGCCATCAAAGCTGTTCTTCAGCATTTTGTTTTCACAAGTGGTATTTCTAGTAGAATCCACATAGCCCTGATCTAACGCATTCTCTAGACACAAGTACATAGAAATCTCATCTGGTACCCTAAGATTCTGATCTTTGCCTCTGACAGTCTGAAATCTACAAACCAACTCACCCAAACCAACCTTTCTGTTTTCTATGTCTGTGCACATGTGGGGGGGGGGGTACATATGTTATAGAGATGGACACAAGGTATTTTGGTAAAAGTTATCATGATCAATTGCAACTTGCATTGAGAGCAGACTTTACAAACAAGATGGACTGCCATTGTCTCGAATTAGCACTGATAATCTCCTGTCCCCAATCATTCCTTGTTAAAGAGCATGCTAGCTCTCTTTGACTGAGTCAAAGATAGAGGAAAATCAGCAGCAAACATGTAAATGTCCTAAAAGTAGTTGGCATCTGAAAACTAGCAGACTCTCTACCAGGATTTCTATTCTTTATCTCATGATATAAAAATACCTACAGTGGGAAAGGGACACTGAAAGCTCTTTGAAAATGGTATCTTGCTTATATCTAGATAAACTCCATAATAATTTCAGAAAGGCCTCTTCAGGAAATCCTGTCATATGTTCTAAACACCCAAGTTGATGATGCTCTTCCATCTTTCAGATACTTAGCAGTGTCACACAAGAGGGTGCTGTGCTCTGCATGGGACTCTCTAAGAGGAACTCCAGTTTGCTACCTCAACAATGCTTCCTTAGTCACTTCTGAAGGTTGTTATAAGTTCCATATTTGGTGACATTTTGCTGTCCACCTGCTGTCTGCTAACTGTTCCTTTACTTTTACCTGATGCAAACTTACTAAATACACTCATTTGAAATTTACAATACAACTATTGTAGATAATTGCTCAGGAAAGAAAGAATGTCTCCTATCAATCAACCTTACTTTGGAGGCAGTGACTATTTAGCTTAGAGCTTACCCAATGTCTAGATGGACTGGCTAGTGAGCTCCTGCGCTCTTCTCTCTATGTCTGCAAATGCTGGATATAGAGGTGGCTCTACCATATCCATCTTATTATATCAACTCTGAGAATTGAAACTCAGGTACTCAGACTTACACATGAACAGTTTACCCAAACAGTTATCCCCACGCAAAATCTTTTTTCATGAGATAATTTTCTCAAGTGTTCTATCACAGTGGCAGAACAGGAAAAGAAAGAATACCGATTGTCATAATCCTTTAATACTAGTTCTTCTTCTCTGACTGTGCTGAACCTGACTATAAGCTTCATAAAACAGGCTAAGTCAGAGGATTCAGCCATCTCACAATGTGTTTACTTATTGAGTAGAAGAAACACATTTATCCTAGAATTAATTAAACCAAGGTAATTATGAAATAGAAATAAAAATATGTAGCTATTATGACATGTACTCATTTTTACATGTACTAAGTTTTGACATGTAGCAAAATAGATAAAAAGAATCTATCCTAGATATCTGAGCAGTTCTGAAATGTGAAATGTATAGTTTTTGTTGCTTTGTTATAAGAACTGGCATTTAAATGATGCTGCTTTTCTATTTTTATACTAATTTCTATTTCTTTGAGTAAAAAAGATAACTCTCTCGTTCCAACAATCACATAAGAACAAAGGAGAGTGGATAACAAAAATATTGATTATTCAATTAAGCATTGCCCAGGATCTATGCTAAAGTAGATACCTAAGATTCCATGATCCTTATTTTACTGTAATTTCTCTGGAAACCTTCAAGTATTTTTCTGCATTTGACTAAAATAAAAGTTTCAATGAAGAAAACATGATGGGAGACAACAATAACTTCTCACTGAAGAAATGATGGGGAAAGATCTGACCCAGTAGAATTTGGAATAGGTAAGCAAGAATGTGGGCACACCCTTTATTGTTAGGACAAAAAAAGGGGGGGCTAAGATAAAACCCAGGGACTCTGTGGTAAATAGGAAATGCTCATTTAACACATGGTATTCTCAAAATCCAAACACAGCAGGAGTCACAGACACTTTCAGGAGACTACTGGCAGCTTGCACAAGCATTTGAATGGAAGATCCTGTGAAGAGGGGAAAAAAGAGTCAGTCAGAACTATGGGACATGGGAGGAGAGGAAGGCTCTTTTTTTTGCCTTCTTCAATTATTCCCTTTGACCTTGATTTAACTCCAAGCAGTGTGCCAATTCTATACCTTTTCTTGTTCTGATTCTATTTTTTGTCTATTCTGTCCACAGCAATACAACAACTAGTATATAATAAGCATCCAGGAGTACATGTTACATGCCTAGGACTAGTTTTATTCAATTAAATATCCAAATCTATGTTCCTTTCCTCTGCTTATCTTGTACCTCCTTCTGCCTGCTTATCTTGTACCTACCACCAAGTATATGCCATCCTAATCCTGGAAAGGAAGGATTAGTAGAGGAAACAGACAATGCTCTGAGATAACATGGCAGTGGCAACTATGTGAACTCTGTTGTATTCACCCTCTGCTACACAAACAGACAGAGCTCTTGGCACACAGCTGGAAAAAGAGGAGAGTGGGGCCTGTATCCTACCTGCATTGTCATGGAGCCAGGCCACTGCCTTCCTTTCTAGAAGTTCCCACTCACACTTCAAGTCCTTTTCATTGGCGTGTAGCCAGAGGACAGCCAGTACTGTGGCCCACATTGAAGGGTCCCTATCCTGCAAAATAGACAGAACCTTCTGTGATGTTCCAGGCAGGCCAGCAATCCACTCGGGAGGAAGCAGAAAGATTTATCATCTTCTTCCTCATCACTTCTTAATATGTGGCTACATGGAATTTTGGGCCCATCCTTACCAAACAGCCTGATGGAACCTCAGGACAACTTTCAATTACCATGTAGAAATGAACAGAAGTTGTAATTCTATGTAACCATCATCACATTCTTCAAGACACCACAAGATACTCAGTACATAGACGATCAGACTGTGCAATGTAATAAAATTTTATATTTGACTTCTTTTAAGGTATTTTGTTTGTTAATTTTTCTTTGTGTCCATATATGCCAAAACAAACACACCAAATATAAAACCAAACAACATAACAACAACAAACTGCTTTAACGAAAAAACAACAGCACATTTCAAAACATAAATGCAAGCAATACAAAAGTGAAAGTAGTTTTCCTACATTAGTTCTGTAATAATGATGGATATTGGAATGTAGGCCCACTGTTAGTTACCAGTAATATTTCTACGAGAGACACTTAAGGCATCTTGCTCAGGATTCTATGCAAAACTAACTCTGATTTTTAAAATGTAGTTCTTGAATCTTAACAGCTTAGGATAAATGACTTATGAAAATCCATAATCATAGAACAAGAATGAAGCTCATCTTGAGGAATCTTGGTTCAGATCTACTGCTTCACATTACCTATGGTCATATGACACCTCTGGGTTCAATGTGTAACTATTTTCAAGTCCATTGGCCTGCCTACTACTCATATAATTGATGATTAAAAAACAAAAGCATTTCTTGACTTCTATTATCTGCCATATATTTTTTATTAGATTTTCTTCACGAAAACTTAAATATCATAAGTAGAGATTTAAGTAAGGGATTGTGATTTTCCTATGAATCATCATTTTTCTGTCATATCATCAACAAATCGATAAAGATTATTTTATAGCTTCATTAACATCATAATTGAAAATATAGATGAGTTAACATTCAGAGCTTAGTTGGTTCAAATTTATGTTCATATTTTGTCATCAATTTGATATATAATAGTACTACTTTTAAGTAAACTATATCCAATAAGAGGATCTGTCATTTTAAATTTTTAAATTTCTGAATGAAATTTAAATAACACCATGAGATATTTGCTCAAATTTACTATTCTTGTTTTTTTTCTTTTACTTGATTCTATTCATGACCTCTTATATTCTAGAGGTATGTTCTGCTGGTGACCAACGTCTCCAGCTGATAGTGAATCTTATTTTTAAAAATTAAAAGGTTAAAAATGAATTATCATTTTGTCAAGCACTGAATGTGAAACAATTTTGATGAAATATTTTCATAGTTTTACCCTAAGTATTTATGTCAGTTTGCATTTTCAGCATAGATACTTCTGTTAACTAAAAAATTTGTACCATATTTGCATAGTCAGGCAAAACTAAAAGATACAGTACAAGTAGATAACTAAAGAATATGTGAAGTTTATTTAATTATGTTTCACATTGTAATAATATAGAACAGTATTTCTTCTTCATTATTAGTTAAATATTTTATTGAAGAGAATTTTTTTTCAAATAGTATTAGAAGATCCGAAAGGTAACCTAAAATTCTAAATGAGGTTTATTCCTTATTTAGCCTATTTAAGAACATTTTTAAAAAACAATATTGGTACTGTTATTGGAGTCTCTGCAGAAAGGGTATCCTAGCATTGAATACAGTTCTGCAATGACTAGTGCAAAGCATTCATGTTCTTAATGCTTATTTCTTCATCTATACATAGCTATATAAATAGAACATGTGCTGTGGGAGTATCTTCCGCTGCTTCAACCAATAGTCGCTGAAGCACGAGCCCCCGGTGCTCTGGGAGCACCTTCCGCTCCGTCAGCCAATAGCCGCTGAAATACCAGCCCACTGGGGCGTGGTATATTTCTCTTTTAAAAAGAGCCACAGATCTCGGCTCGGGCCTCTTGGTTCTGGCGCTTGGTCCCGGCTCCTGCTCCCGGCTCCTGCTCCAGCAACTAGGCTCCCTTCCTGACGGTTTATGGTGTATGTAAGTTTTACCCCCCAAAATAAATAACCCCTTAAAACATAACTGGTGTGGGATTGATTCGCCGTTAAACATGCCTTAACAAACAGAATCAGGAAAATTAAGTATATTAATACTAAGAATACTAAGTGCTTAAAAAACTATCTGGTACCATGTGAAGATAAAATGAGTATTTTTGCAAACATATCTAAGGGAATATGATTAATACAGAGGAGAAGTTACTTTCCCTTTGACATACATGAGTCTGATCATACCTTACAACAGCTAGGCCATTAATTTCATGTTGTTTATACTCTGGCTTAAATGGAAATAATTTCACCTTCTATATAATACACATTAATTTCACATTTGCATTATCTATATTCTTATTTCTTAGCTTGGCCCTTGTTCATTTCAATTTCTATCATGATCCTACCATCATGAAGCACACACAAAGATACCACTTTGCATCTTACCTTGACAGGGTTTGCAGCCTTGATGTCTTCCAAACTAGTGCCCAGGATCTTGGTCAGATGCTCATCCAGTTCCCAGGAGCCATTGGCGTTTTGGAGTGAAATCAGCTGCATAGCAAAATTTTCTCCAAAACCTTTTGTGAAAAATGAAAGAGATATCATAGGAAATTATAGAGTTCCTGTGATCATAGGCCAACCAAGAAAGTCTTCTGAGATCAGAGATCATAGTGAGACTTCTGCAGGATATCCATTGTCTAATCTGTGATGGGTAGCTAGTTGATCTGGGTACTGAAGACAACAGCAGCAAAGTCTTCTGGGGTCAGACCCTGACGGCAGGTGGAGTGTGTAGGCAGACATTGCTAAGGGGACTCAAAAAATTAGAGTTCACTCAATTACAGTAGATTAGGAGGCATCAAGTATTGTATCAAATATTGTAAATTACAGTAGGCTAAAAGGTATCAAGGTATTATAGACTAATGAAACTTGATTATTTCTGGCAAATATATGTAAACGTCATATTTCACCTCCTGTCTGATGCCTCTAATAATTCACTCCATAGGCAGATAAAGCTCCAAGATGAAGAGGATGGAAGGTTAGTTTGTAAATGCCAGAAGTCAGAGACTTAATCTGAGGCCCATTTTACCTTTCTTGTCGTTTTGAAAGTTGGCTTTCTTGGTGTAAGAGTCTGATGTTTCCGTCATGCTTACAGATGCTAATTTTCTCTTATAAGGATTTAAAGATTCAAGGTCATAAAATCTAATAACACCTGTGACAAACAAACATTGCTGAGAAACTGTTCCTAGAAAAAAACTCCCTCAAACTCTAGAGAATGTCTTTATGACCTCTCAAAAAGCTTACCATTATCTTCGCGTTCTCTATGCACATCATCTTCCACACTTTCTTCACATAGTGAGAATCTGGAGGCAAGTGCTACGTCTGAAGTATCATCATAGTCTGTGTTGTGCACCAAGAAAAGACTTTAAAAATGTGAGTATTCCAGACTTGAATCCTTCAGTCAACATCAGCTTCCCCCTAACAGTGATGTTTCATTACAGTATGACCTTCTCCAATATGGAGACATATCAGAGCCATCATTCTACTTCCTATTGACTTTTCTAGAACCTCTGACATGTGCTGAACAATCACAGCTGTGTCTTACCTGCAATACTGAAGAATTCTTCCGGATAACCCTCAATTTGAAAAGACTTTTTACTGTCTCACAAAGCTATTTTATGTCTGTCCGTTTCAAACGAAGCTCAACCCTAAGCACCCAGGTTCAGAAGGTTAGCTTGGCAAATGTCTAAGAGTAAAATGAATCCCTCTCTCTAACCTGTATTGTCTTCTGCATGTCCCTACTACTATCAACCACCAAGTAATAAAATCACCTCCTGCCAGAACCAAAGTACACAAAAGTCATGCCACAGGCTCCCAGTGCACTCTAAGCTCTTTCCATCACCCATGTAAGTAGCTTATGCAACATCTTAAAAGAAAGATGTTGCCTTCCTCAGATCCAGTACCTATGGCCCTAACACAGATATCCTCTGCCCTCAAGTCATGGGTATTATTCAGAATTGTTTATGTATAAAAATGTTTTAATTTTATTTTGAAATACAACACTCATATTTCTAGTCTTTTAACTTAGGGTTTCTTTTATAAAATTAGTCTTTGACATGACCTTTCTAAGTCCCCGGTTCTTATATTTTTTGCAAATATATCACCCTCATTCAAACTTTAACTTTTACTCAACCTCAACTTCAATCAAGCAAATCATCTCTCTCTTCACTATCTTCAATCCTAGCCACAACTTCTAATCATCAGAGCTATAGCAGAATCCCACTTTAGAAATCAATTCATTCCTTAACCCAATTTATTCTTAAAGTTGATGACACCTGCTGTAAATTATTTGGAAAGCCAAATACTCTAATTAGTGCTTATATATACTGAAAAAGGCACCAAATACATCTTTACCCTATGCCATCTGAGCCACTGACTAGACATCAAGAACAGAAGTTAGATTCAAATTAAAAGATTTGTTAAGTCAATGTTTATAGATGCTCTTGAATTGTAGTATGTCCTGATCATCTTCTGCACAACTGTAATAAATCTCTGCCCCAGATAGACAGAATCTACTTCTCTTGAAAAATTAAAGTAAGCCATAAATTGTAGATATGGAAAGAAGAAGAAAACATAACAAATTTAAGAAATGCAATTAAATTCAAATTTTTATATTGTGAAATTTATTATCATTTATAATATGGGATTAGATATTTAAGAACTATTATTAAAAAGTTTAAATTTGGATAATACTTACAAGAATCAAATCCATGTACAGGCAAATCTTGAAGCATCATTGGCCAAGGAATCACTCTGGTAGCCAGAGGCCCCTGCACTGGCTGATTGAGATCCTTGTTTATGGCAATGAAAGCTGTGAAGGAGCTGAGGACCCCAGACTGAATGCTGATGTTCACCACATCTTCCTTTTCTCCTTCTGAAGTCTCATGGGAGCCCAAGTCCTTCCTCTGAATCAAGGACTTTGCAGCCAATCGATGAATGGTGAAGCTGAAAGAAGATACTGGAGAAAATTAAAGAAAAGCAACTACAAACAAAGTTCCAAAGACTTTTCAAAGCTGGTGATTGCACCTGAAAAGGAATGTGGAGACAAAGAGTTTAGATGAATGAATTAGGAAAAGAAGAGCTTAGAGGAAGCACCAGAGCACAGTGACAGAAATAGCTGAACCATTAAGAACGGCAGAGGGAAAAAAAGGGAGTGTGGTGACCTGGATAAGAATGGCCCCCTTAGACTCAGGAGTTTGAATGCTTGGCCAATAGGGAGTGGCACTAATGGGAGGTGTAGTCTTGTTCTTGCAGGTGTATCTTTGGAGGAAGTGTGCCATTGTGGAGGTAAACTTTAAAGTCTCAGATGATTGAGGCCATGTAAGTGGCCTCTGCAATATTTTGATTCAGTGTGGCATTCCTTTCTTCCTGCCTCAGATCAAGAGGTTGAACTCTCAGCACTTTCTCCAACGCCATGTCAGCCTGAATGCCACCTTGCTTCTTGCCATGACAATAATGGTTTAATCCCCTTTACCACAAGCCAGTCCCAATTAAATATTTCCCTTATGAGAGTTGTTGTTCTTTCACAGCAATAGAAAACCTAACCAAATCAGTGAGAGAAAGAAAAAGAAGAGAAGAGAGAGGTGGGGAAGTGTGGAGATGGAGAAGTGGTGCGGGAGAATTATCTGTATTCTGTTAATCATATTTTAATAAAACGCTGATTGGCCAGGCAGGCAGTATAGGCGGGAAAGCCAGACAGGAAGTAGGGGTGGAGCAAAGAGACTGGGAGTATTCTGGAAGCAGAAGCTCTCTCAGCCATTCCTGTACAGACCACCGAAGAGGCAACATGTAAGCTGTCACACCGAGAAAGGTACTGAGCCCATGTGGCTAACATAGATCAGAATAATGGGTTAAGATAAGTTATAAGAACTAATAAGTAGCCTGACTTAATGGGCCAATCAGTTTTATAACTTATAGAGATCTCTGTGTGGTTGATTTTCCTTTGGGGCTTGCCAGCTGTTGAGCACTGGGCGGGACAGATACCCCGACAAGCCGGCCCCCGTCATGTTACAGAGAAGCAAAGCTGAATTCTTACCTTTTATTTGCCTTAGGTTGTAGGGAAAATGTCACCCTGTTTTCAAGACTCTTACCCTGGAGGGTGTACTTGAGGCACACTTCTCCTGAGCTCTCCACTTGCTACAAAGAAGAGGAGAACCAGAGTGGCAAAACAGACACACAACAAAGAAAATGGTGAGCACTAGGGAAGCTCCTGAGCTCAAGGCAATGTTACACTAAGAATCATGTAGTACAAGATAACATATAGTGGGCATGAAGGAGAAGATGGGAACCTTGGTGCCTGGCAAGTGACATATCTTGTTGAAATCCCAAACAAACATCTGTGCTCATAAAACTGCTGATGCAGTGTTTCACTGAGTAAATGAATGAGCAAGAATAGGGACTCACAGGCATAGTCCCATTCAGTCGGGCATAGATGATTAACCTCTGACCCCTAAAGATGACAGCATGCTCTGGTGAAAGCATGCTAGCTGACAGACCAGGAGGCAATATCCAGCTCAGAGAAATGTCACCCACTGATGAGTTTAGAGCAGACTTCAGAGACCCAAGAGCCTGTTGGAGGAGAAAAGAGCCAGAATTATATACAAGAAAGATAATAATGGCAGTCATCCATTGAGTATTTATCAGGACTTAGGATGTAAAGTATGTCTTATCTAGTCACCAAAGCTAAGAGAAAAATGCAATTCTCTCTCTCTCTCTCTCTCTCTCTCTCTCTCTCTCTCTCTCTCTGATTATATGTCTGGAAAACTGGAAAAGTTATACTTGAGAGATGTAAAATGCAGGTGTGAATGAAGGCAATACTTAAGGAAGGAGACTTCTTAAAATATGAGTTAGAGAAGGGATATGAACAACATGGAAAGTTTAGCTGAGAAATATGATCAGAGATGTCTTGCTTTTTGTATACTAATAATCGATTGTGAACTCATTATGCCTTTGAGTCTTTCACATACACACAAACACACACAGAGATACACACACAAACACATATACAAACACACTTGTCTTTTCTTTTGTACCTTTTGCATGGATAATGAATTTCTACCTGATCTGCTGAGAACACAGACTAGTCTCAGACAGAGCCATCAAAGCTTTCGCCTTCTTTTTAGTTTGGCAAACAAAAGTCACAACTTCTTTATCTACTTGCTCTCTGGACTCCCAGCTACTACTGTCTGATGCCAGTCTTTAGGTATTAGAGTGGAACCCTTTTTTAAAAAGTATCTAGTAGTTCATTAAGTATGTGGCCTGAGACTCATGACAGTGTGTCCTCCAGGAGAGTGAATCATGTGACTTTGCAGCAGTCTCACTTCCTTTCCTACACACTCTGTACATTCAACTCTAGACACTTGGCCTACTCTCACCTTGGTCTGTATCCTGTCCTTGCCTGTGATAAACTCTGCAGTGCCACCTGATACTCGGGCAATGCTTTTGATTAAACTGGTGGAAGCTCCTTCTCCAATACCAAATGAGAAGCATCTGCAACAGGGACATGAAAAACATTAGACACAGATTTTCCATAACAGAATTATCTGTTAACATGTACTGGTAAAAATGTCATGAAGAGATAAGTTACTGGTAAAAATGTCATGAAGAGATAAGTTACTTACCTCAAAGTCAGTGCAATACTTATTTTTTTTGGAAATCAGATTCTATTTCTTTGGACTTTAATAAACACTTAAATAAATGATACTAACAAGTTTTTTTTATAAAGAAAGGTTTATTTCCATTTGTTAATGAAGATTTGGGGCTTGGGACATTTGAAATATTTGTTCTAAGTTCTGTTTTTTCTTTATCTATGAATTTCCTTTAGTAAAGTCAAGTTAATACATGAAAATATAAATATTTTTTTAAATTAAATAGGCAAATGCACTGACACCTTGGCTGATATATTAAGTATTTGTGGGTTTTTTTGTTAATGTGAGTCATCAGCCTTAAATCCTGTGACATGGGACAATAGAAATAGTGTTTTCCAAAGTGTTTGGTTTGAGGACCAAAGTTTATACTGCAGTTTTATTCCTTCTTAATAACCTATGAAGCAGTCACTATGGGTCTTTAGCATTTTTAAATTTATTGATAAGACAAACTGATTGGTGGAGTTTCCAGAACTTACTCTGGCAGATGAGCTGGAGATAAAATATGCAAACTCTTAGATTCTGACAATGAAGAACTCATACAAGGATCAAGATAAAACACTGAGTTCTACTCACAGAAATACTTGACTAGGTTCTTCAAGGCAGAGAGCACTAGAGACCTATAAACAGTAATTTTACTAATTCTTGTAAAGGCAAACAACTACTAAGACAATAGACTCCAATGACTGCTGAGAAATATGAAGCTAGAAGCCAAGACCTGGATATGGTGTTTGGAAATGAGAAATAAGCCTGTATAACCTGTCTCCTTACCATTTGAATCATGTGGCAAGTACGGATGGCTGAGCACCTAAGCTGTTTTAGAGAAAGTAGAAAAGTTGTAGATTTTTAAGTTTTGTCAGTGACAGATGTCCCTGAAAACACCTGAGAATATTTCACAAACAAATCTAGAAATACTAACACCTGAGAGATAGAGATGTTGAGAAATAGTCCAGCCATGAAATTCATCAAGCTTTATCTTCATTCAGGCTTTTGGCTCCTAGTCTAGGCACACATTGAAATCAAATATGACCTATCAGGCAGAAGATTCCAACTAAATACTAATAGTCCAAAAACACCTACAAAGTCCAGTATGTCTGAATAGCACATTGGCCATTTCTAATGAACAATTAAGTAAGAAAATTTTCACAAAACAGTAAAACAGCAGTGTTTATAGTTCATTTTTATGCAAGAAATACACAGATACCAAAACCTCACAACATAATTTAAAATTCATTGGATTATGGCACCTAAGCATTTGGTGAGAACATCCACATAAAGACTAAAAAAAGCTTTTTTTTAAAGGCTTCAAGACCCACAAAAGCAGGAGTCATTTGGAGCTTCTTGGAAGGCACACATTTTCAGATAGGCTCTGTTTGCTGGCAGTAAGCAAAGGGACGGCTCTTTTAACAGAAGTCTTCTGGACTTAACCTTAGCAGCCAAATCTGCCTGAATTGTGTTGGTAGCACAAATGGCTCTGGTTCTTTCAAGAGTTCCTGCGATGGAGAACTTTAATGGGGTTTGTGAGTAAAATGTTAAAAATTGCTTACTAGTGACATAGGCCTGCTTGTATCCCTGGAGTTGGGTCAATGAACATGGTTCGCAGAATATACCTCTCATACCTCTGCCATATTGGATGGGTTGGAGTCAGCAGACAAAGTTACAGCCTTAGTCCTAGCCATGCTAGCTTAGAATATAACAAACAAACAAGCATAAACAGAACAAAACAAAAAATGCAGCTCTCCTGGTCAAAAAATGATTACAGATACATACTAAGACATATTCAGGAAAAAAAGACCTCTGTATGTGTCACAGTGTTGGATTAGAAGAGAGATAGGAAAGAATAATGACAGTAAAGTCATAGATTTAAAAATAAAAATAATAAGGTATATATTAAAATAGAGTAAAAATAAGCCATGTAAATATAGAATAACATTGCTTTTTCTTTGGATTTCTTGACCTGTAATAAGTGAACTGCTGAAAAAAAATTGATTCTGTGGACTGCTAAACTAAACCAACATATATATTATAAAGGTATAATGTTTTCAAAATTTGAGTCTAAGGATATGCTAATTTGGAAAAGATGTTATGTTTCTGTTTCCAGAGAGGATGAAAACCTGTGGATTCCATCCAGGTTAATCTGGTTTGATGAAACAAGACCCTCCAAAATTGTAAGAGAGAGAGTCTACGTGTCTGAAGAAGGCTTTACCTTGGAACTCTGGATTACTAAATAAAACTTCAATGCCAGGAAAAGGATAACCACTTATGAGTTGTTGGTCAGTGAGGCACAGAAAATAAGACAGAGTCTAGCCATTGTTCATGGTTGCCAACCTAAGAGAAATGTGAAGATACTAATGCTGAAGCAACCACAGCCTTGGTTGTATGATATAGAGAAATCAAGATATACTATAAAGGGTGCTGAGATTTGAAGCACAATTAATAAAAACTCAGAAATAGATACTGGAGTTCAACCTGAACACCAGAAAAGCAAAGTAGTCAGACACTGGCTCTTACTTAGACCTCAGTCCAAAAATAGTTATCTTGCCTCCAGAAAATCTCAGAATGAGACTGAGACTGAGAGCTGCCTCTTCCTGTTTTATATTCCTCTCTAGTTATGGGACTAAGGGTGTGAACAACTACTACCTGATTTCTATGACAAACTTGCATGGCTACCTGGATAAAAAGTGTGTGTTATTGTGGCTAGAGGGATTATAGTTGTGCATCATTGCTGCCTGGTCTGTAAAGCTGGCCAATGTGACCGTTATACTTTTGTGACCTTCAAGAAAGCTTTTTTATTAAAATAGAAATGAAATGCCACTATAGGGAGAGAAAAGACAACAATTGTCTGAACCATCACTGAGCCATACAAAATATAATACCATCTGCCAGGGATAGTATACTCACTGATGCAATACTCGCATGACCATTACGGGAGTGACATCCTAAGAATCAGGGAAAGACGTAGTCATTGACCTCAGTAGTATACCCAAGGTTAAACCCACCAGAATTCAATGGTCAGTTCTAATCCAGTGGTCATAGAGATGGCACTGATTACACTCAATTGGTCATGTTATAAAACAAAAAGGCAAATCAACAAGAAGAACAGGTAGGGGAGGGAAGATTGATGGAGATGGGGGAGATAGGAAAGAATAAGAGGAGATAGTAACCAGAATGTATACGTACATATATAAAACTCACAAAGAACCCATATAAATAGCAAAATCCTTTGAAAGGAAAGTGTAAACCATCAGAACAAGTTGAATAAGGAAAAAACTTAACAGAACACATACAAAAGTCATAATCCTAAAGAAAAACTTCAGAGACTAGAAATTAAAATGGCAATTATTTGAGTCATGGATGGTAGCCCATGACTCAATCCCAAAACTCTAGAGGCACAGGCAGGCAGAATAATACCCAAGGAGGCCAGCCAGAGCTAGTAAAGTAGTTCCAGACCGAGAGGGGTGAGTCTGTGCTATCTGGGGCGAACTGTCCCGGAAGAGAGCACAGTCCCCCGCCTAGCTCCTGCTGCAGGGTCTTCTGTGTTCCACTCGACCCTGCCCTGCCTCCACGGTCGCCCTTTTGTCTCCTGTGTTCTTGGAATACCAACTATCCCTATTTCAGTGCTGAGGAGTTCCATCCAGAGAGGTGAGTGTGTGCTATCGGGGTGGACTGTCCCGGAAGAGAGCACAGCCCCCCCTCAGCTTCTGCTGCAGGGTCTTCTGTGTTCCACTCGACCCTGCCCAGCCCCCACGGTCACCCTTTTGTCTCCTGTGTCCTTAGAATACCAGCAATCCCTATTTCAGTGCTGAGGAGTTCCATCCAGAGGGGTGAGTCTGTGCTATCCGGGGCGGACTGTCCTGGAAGAGAGCACAGTCCCCCTGCCCAGCTCCTGCTGCAGGGTCTTCTGTGTTCCACTCGACCCTGCCTTGCCCCCACATTTGCTCTTTTGTCTGCAGTGTCCTTGGAATACCAACTATCCCTGTGCCTGTGTTGAGGAGTTCCATCCAGAGGGTGCTGAAGAGTTCCATCTAGAGGGACAGGAACAGTTCCTGCTCCTGCACCGAAGAGATCCACCCAGAGAGTCAGTGACAGCAAAAACTAAACCAAGACACCAAGGCTCTCCTAGCTCCATTTGAAGGAAGAGATGGGCAGGTGCCAATGCAAGAATTCCTCCAACAACCTTAAAGGCAACATGACATCACCAGAATCCAGGGATCATGAAACTAGAAGAATTGAACACCCTACTCCAGAAGAAACAGAAGAAATCCACTCTAAGCGGAACTATATGAAAATAATAGAGGAACTTAAACAGGAGGTGAAAAACTGCCATAAAGAAATGGAGATAACAAACAAAAAAGTAGATGAAATGAATAAATCTCTCAAAGATACCAAAAAAAAACAAGAAATCCAAGAAAAAGCAATCAAACACGTAAAGGAAACAGTTCAAGACTTGAAAAATGAAATGGAGGTAATGAAGAAAACACAAACCGAAGGAAGGCTGGATATGGAAAATCTGGGTAAACGAATAGGAACTGCAGAGACAAGTATTACCAACAGAATACAAGAGATAGAAGAAAGAATCTCAGACACTGAAGATACTGTAGAGGAAATAAACTCACTGATTAAAGAACAAAACAAATCTAACAAATTCTTAACACAAAGCATCCAGGAAATCTGGGACACCGTGAAAAGGCCAAACCTGAGAATAATAGGTGTAGAAGAAGAAGAAGATTTACAGCTCAAAGGTCCAGAAAATATATTCAACAAAATTATTGAAGAAAACTTTCCCAATCTAAAGAAGGATATTACTATGAAGGTACAAGAAGCATATAGAACACCAAATAGACT